AATCCTTCTTTTGTAAAATTTTATTGTCCTTGTCCCTCTAATTTTTGTCTCCATTTTTGTTTATAAGGTGAAGGACAATTGGGGAGAATTTATTGTAGTCTCCACGATTTTTCAACCCCTTCCGATGGCCTGACAGAAAACTTAATTAGTGTCCAACCGATAAGAAATTGCAATTGTTTAAATTTGAAAAGAAGTTGATTTTCGATGAAAGAGCAAGCTCATCAACGTTATATTTTTTAATGGAACTATAGACATAACCTTTAATTTTATAATGTTGTAGGTGGATTTGAGACGAATTCAACGACCTGCCAATTGATCACCTTTAGATGATATTGAAAGAAAAATTGCCATGTTTTAAAATCTACCCCGTTTCTGGATTTATTTAAAAAATATAAAAATATGTATAAAACGTAAATGATCTGAATAATTAATTTATACGAAAATCTTCAGCGAGCATTTCTTCAGATATTTTAGAAAACATAATTATGTTATTTATTATTACTTAAATATTATTGTTACTTTAATATTACTTTATTATTACTTTAATATTACTTTATTATTACGTTAATATTACTTTATTAATACGTTAATATTACTTTATTAAAACTTGATTGTGTAATTTATAATTACTTAAATATTATTGTTACTTTATTATTATTTTAATATTACTTTATTATTACGTTAATATTACTTTATTAATGCGTTAATATTACTTTATTAAAACTTGGTTGTGTTATTTATAATTACTTAAATATTATTGTTACTTTATTATTACGTTAATATTACTTCATTATTACTTATTATTACTTTATTATATATTACTTTATTATTACTTTATCGTTACTTTACTGTTACTTTCTTATTACTTATTATTACTTAATTTACCATTACTTAAATCCGTCAGAACTGTTGCAGCATCGACTGAAAAACATCTTAAAAATACATTTCAACACATAACAATCGTAATAATTCTCTCTAAATGTTATATATCGACGGATTAACACAATAAAAAACATAAATCACCTACATTTGTATAATACGAGGCACAGAAATTGCGACGTCTGGCCAATTCTAAAATTATTAGATTCCACAGGTCACACGATTGTTATCCTCCGATAAACAGCGACACCTATGGCCCGTTAAATTCGCCAAGGTTCCCGCGGCAAAACGCGGAAGCACGGTGAAATCGTATGCTCGCCTTAATCGTTGCATAATTTAATTCGTTCGCGGGATACCTGGCTCGGTGTCTCGCGCGCGCGAGTGTTGCAACGTTCGGGCAGAAATCTTTACGGCCCTATTATTTATCTTCGTTTTATTGCGATGTGGTGAAACGTTCTCGGCGGTGCGAACGTGTGTCCGAGCGTGTACACGTGTGTACGTGTGCTCGCGTTTTTCCCGGGGTTTTTATCCGAGAGATCGGTTCATTCGAAAATGCTTTCTTCCACGTTCGGTCCTTTAAATATAGCGTATCCATTTTTCGCTGGACGTTCGAATGGAAAAATTCGATCTCGTTCGAACACGATCATATCGCCTTTGTGCGGAATAACGGGATTGTGGTGGGAAAAAAGGGTTGGAAGGGGACCGCTGCGAAAGAGACAGAGACAGAGAGAGAGAAAAATGCAACTATGAATAAGCGGAAAGATCAACGAGCGAGAAGATCGATTGTAATCCAAGAAAACGGGATTACCATTGAGTGTCTGTCATCGAACGATATACCGATCCCGACGGCAAAAAGAGCTGTATTATAAATCAGTTCATTGTTGGTACGTCGCTATCTACCGACGGCGTGGGGAACGAAAAAATGAAAAATAAAAAAAAGGAGAAAAGAACCAAAAAAAAATGTTCGCGCAACTAAGTTGAGACCCCGAATTCAATAACTCACGTCCCCCGGCTCCCGTTGTAATATTTAACCGCGACTTCTATGAATTTCATTCGGACGCGTAAATCGGTCTACTCCTTCCATATTTTTAACACGCATTGAAACCGCGGCGCGTCAATGGAATTTATGGTCGTCCCCCGCGCGCGCGCTTTGTCTATTAACCCTGGCCGCGACAACGCCGAATGTATTACCCGGCATAAACATTGTTCGGAACAGTGGAGACCAAATTTTGACGAACGGCCGCGATTTACAGTAACTTCTCGGCCCTTTGATTTTTGTTATTGTTTGCCGCGGAGAAAGACCGACGACCAACAATGTAGCTATTCGCGGTCTCGCCGCCGGGGATATGCATTTTTCACGATTGAATCGCGTATCGATGTTCCCGTCGTCCCGGAGATTTTATTTATTCGCGAAGAGCTTAACGTCTTACGGGAATTTTCGACGCAACAACGCTCCCACCGACGCCATCTACGAACGGCTTCTTTTTCACGTCCGCGTGTTTATCCTTCGCTCGGAACGTTCGCGTTTGTATTTGTTAACCCTTCGCGATCGTGCGGTGACTCAAAGGCACCGCTAAATGTCTCCCTTACTGACGCTCAGATTGTCCATGAAAGTGGACAATTTGGGAAGAGGAGATACGGTTATTCAAATTTTGCTGTTTGTTTTTATAGTTACGAAATGTCAACAA